ACACTTTAGCATTTAGGTAATCTCAATATTAATCTTTTCATAACTTAGTGATGCTGAAACAAACTGAAATAGTTTTGTTTATCAGCAATGTAACCATGTTGAAATTGTGTAAAACATGCTCTATTGGGAGAAAGACACTTCACCAAATTAGTCTTTTTAATCCACTTTCGGACGCAGTCCGAAAACAAGGACTTATGTTTTGACCCTTGTGTGTCTGGAACTGTATCTTAGACATGCCTGGACCCATCACAATCTTCACACATACATCATACATAATATTATACATATGCACATCAATTTGTTTCACGATCTGATTCAAGATGGCCAAATGGTGGCCATTTTTGTGCTAAAAAATCATCAAAATCAAGCATTTATGGATGGATTTTATTCAAACTTTATATATACATTGAACATTATGAAACCTTAATGCACGTCATTTTTTTTTTCAGATTCGATTCAAAATGTCGGACTGGCAGCCATTTTGTTTTAATGAATGCAGTTATAGTGCCATATCTCTGCCATGCTTTGACTGATTATGTTCAAATTTTATATATTCATTATATATCATGACATAGATATATTGAGTTGACTATCTAATTCAAAATGGCCAAATGACAGCCATTTTTTGTGCTGAAAAATCATCAAAAATCAAGCATTTCTGGCATTCCAGAACTGGAATTTGTCATTTATAGGATGGATTTTGTTCAAACTTGGTACATACATTAGACATTATGGGCTTGTTTTCATTCAATTGATAATCTCCAAAATAAATGATAGTAACATCTTTATTGATTTTGACTGACAGAAACCCCTCCTATAACATCTATGCCAGACAATAACAGCCCACAGCACAGACATAATCATAATTTATTTCTAAAATTGCTTTTATAGTACTTATGCTGATGTTATTAATATTATAATTATTTGATTTTTTGGCAGGGTCACGAATATTTCAACCCACAGAGGAAAAATTATATATTCTTGCGAGGAAATGCCAGTGACGAGTTGAAGCCGAGAAGCAAAAAATAAGTTGTTTTATAAATTTGCACATTATTTTCTACACAACACTTTGCATAACTCATCTATACTGATTACATTTTCTCGTCCCATTTCCAGTTTACCTGTGTATTGGTTTGTATTTTATATTGTTTAATTATGTATCTATGGACTTAACTACCTGAAATAAAGTAATAATAAATACCATTTTTGCTCTATCAGTAGCACATGCTATTGTATAAATGATAGATGTTTTGTCCATGAACATATTGAGTCGTATACAAATGATTTAGCATGCAATAAATGTTACTGTACCGGTATGTGTGGCTTTTAATAGAGCAAAATTGGTGTTGAAAAAAAATAAAATCCTTGTTCAGTTTGGACATGTTTCACTGTGTGTTTTGTTTTGTTGTTCTCGACAATCAAGTCACTAAAAGCTATGGCACTTTGTGATGTTCATGATGTTATTAGGGCAATAAGTATTGGTAATTGTTACAGCCAGGTAGTATTATGTAGTCTTTTAGGCATTGCTACATACAAGGTGGCTCACACTATAGTTTTTTGAATAATAAATAATTTAAAGGGAGGTAGTCGCTCATGCCGGGCCACACCATGCATGTGCAACATTTGTGTTGATAAACATTGATCTCCCCAGAATCCAGTGCGCTTTTTCTAAGGAAATAATGAGTTTTGCCCTGGGAGCCACTTGCTCTAATTCCCGCCGGTGAGTCCTTTGATACCTTCCAAACGCCAAAAGAATACTTAAAGCTTAGTAACCTCGCAGTTTGTACTGGTGTGCGCAACAGTCAAAATCGCCATCTTTGTTTATTTGAGAGCCAGATCTTGCGCATACACATCGCGACGACTACCGCTCTTTAAGACTATTTTTTATTTGAAAATTTTGCTTATAATCTATGATAAATTGCAAACAACCGCACATTGTGTTAAAGTGTTCAGAGATGACAAGAGTCTTTGTTTTTGTGTATTCTTATCACAGTTAAAATCTTGTACCTACTACTTCAATTTCCATCACTGAGCAATATTCTGATTTATAAAGATTAGGTGTGATACTGAGCAAATATCTTATTTTCGAGATATTCCCAAAATCACAAGACAGACACAAGTACATAGGATTGCAAATAGGCAAGTCTGAATAAAATGGTTTAGTTTTCGTCTCTGGTTACATAATCAAACCTTTCTAAATGTGCTTTGCATATCACCTTATGTACATAAATATCAGTGTTGCTTACCTTTCAATTAAAAAGGCCCGAGATTTATAGATAAAGTTTACAGATAATGTTCCTTTCAAATTTGTTTTCAAAGTACACAGCCTAGTGTCCCATTGTATTACCCCAAAACACTGCTTGATCGATATACAGTACAGATTTAGAGGTAGACAGTAACTTTAAAATTGTCTGTATCTATAACAGGGCATTTACATCAACACATGTGTTACACTCTTAGAGTACCGTAGAATACTTTATTTTCGCTTGGAATTTATTTTCGCTGAAGGATTGATTCAGTGAAAATAAAATCCAGCGAATATACCTTTTT